AGTATCGGCGGAAGAAAATAAGAGACTCCCGTGGTCTCCGCACGCATCGCACATCGAAGCGATGAGAGAAGGGGACGCCAAGTGGGATCTCCTCATCGGGTACTGGGGAAAGCCTAGGAAAGTAGGCATACACCCATAACTGCAGAACAGATATCAGTATAATTATCAGATAAGGCAAAATACAGAATATAGCAGAAATGGCAGAACCGTGTGTTGTGCTGTGTATTGTACAGAGTGTACAGTGTGAGCAGTGTGCAGACAGTGTAAAGCAGAGTATATGTGTGTCGGGTGTGCAGTACACAGTCAGTATGTGGCAGTGTACAGTATATGTGAAGTGTACAGAATATAGAATGTAGAAGGCAGAAATGTAAAATGGGAAGAGGGCGTACCTCCCAGGCTCGCCAGTAGCCACCAAGGAGCTATCCGCTGAGGCGGGAAGAAGAGCTCATATAACCGTACAAAGTGGCCAGAGCAGCGCCACCCCAATCATAATGACGGATCTTGTACCATGTTCAAGGCTATCAGCGCAGAATTGCCTGGGCTTTCAACAAGAAAGTTAAGTCTAGGAATCTAAAGGAAGGAGACTTGGTGCTCAAGGACAACCGAGCTCCCATCCACGACCCAAGGGGCAAGTTCAGACCTAATTGGACTGGTCCCTACATCATCAAAGCTATCTGGTCAGGTGAAGCTGTGGTCCTGATGGACCTAGATGGCCTAGAATTTTCCCAACCGATCAACATGGATAAGTTGAAGAAATATTACCCCTGAGAAGCTCGCTAGGCCGAAAACCCGAAAGGGCGACCTAGGTAAAAGTTAGAGCATGAAAAATTTGAAATTACAAAAACTAAGCTCGCAAGGTTGAAAACCCGCAAAGGGCGGCCTTGGTAAATGTTAGAGCGTAAAAGGAGAGTGAAAATACCCGAGTGAACCTAAGCCTGAACTACGTAAGGCTTGATTCCCATCTTCGGGATACGTAGGCAACTTCATCCCGAAGTTCAGCCATAAACTTTTCCCCAATCAACTTTGTCCATTTGATCATCTCGGTCATGTTTGTCTATTCAGCATTCAAGAGTCCGGTTATGATCTCCGGTACAGTGTCATTCAGACTAGGGGCAACTTTTCGTTGCCATGCAGTGCTGCGGTACTCTTCAGACTAGGGGCAACTTTCCAGTTGCAGGGATCTGGGGTTGTGCATCACAGTGACAGATCTTAGGTGTGTCCAGTTCTGATCCATGTCGAAAATGATTCTGAAAAGTTTTAATAAAAGTTGACTTTGTTCAAATTAATCTTTTTTACAACTTAGACCATTTTTTGGACCAAACGAAAAATTTTCAGTACCCACAACCTTCAATTACATTGATTTCAATACAGAGTTCTCCTACTCTTGAATACAAATTAAAGTTTCTTTTCATTACATTCATAAAGAAAACTTGGAAGTTCTAATTAAAAGCAAATAAATCCGGGGCATAGTCAGGTGTTCCTACGTCCCCTCCCCGAGCTGGTAGAAGCCTCTGATGCCAAAGTGGGCCTTACCTGTGCCTCTTAATTGAGCCAATCTATGCACTCATCAGAGAGGGTGCAACTGAAAGTGGGAACGGGGGCCAGAAGCTCTCTCGTCCTCTATCCTGTGGCATACCAAGCTAGTTGTGCACCTCGGGCCGAAAATATAGCAGGGTACTCTATCCCCTCCTCCGGACAAGTCTGATCATGTCTGAACTGGCACCGGATCCAGAGCAAAAAGTAAAAGACACAATGTGTCAGGCCAATCAACTGAATCTCGGGCTGGCGGGTCATGCTGTAGCTCATCGCCGGCAGATTAAGCCAAGGGCAGCGCTAAGCAATGTGGTCTGCGGAAAAACTGCACATCCAGTTGTACCACCATTCCTCATCAGGGGCATCGACTAGACGCCGTCGGAAGAAATAGTTGCGAGTTGAATATGCCAGGCATGAGTCCACCACTCTCAATTTATCCATCAACCACACTTGGGGATGGATGAAAAATGAGAGATTAAAGAATAGAGAGGTGTAAGTTGAGAGAAAAGTAAGAAAAGGGTTTTGAGAGAAAAATCGAGCCTGAGGGCCGAGTGATGTGAGCAATATATATGTGAGATGGGGTGGGAAACATTACCTGTAATAGTGGTGGACTCCCCGCAAACCTAGCCGTCTCTCGGCGATGAAAAGCATCTAATCCCATCAACGTTTCGGCTAGCGTCATGACGATGCAACTTTTGCCCTCTCTTAAGCCTTCGGCGACTTCAATCAAATGAGTACTAAGCCCACCGGAGTTCGAGGCAAGTAAGAGATGAGATAACATGCACAAGCAAAGCGCATGTCACCGATAACCCTGCCAATGATGGTCGCCGCAGTCACCGGCATCGGAAAACCGACAAACCAAGCTCGGAATGTCTAACTCTCTATCATGAATCAATGATCGATCATCCTGCAAAGTGAGCCCACACATCCGCCCCAATGCTTGGACGTGGCCGAAGCAGAATTGTGGCAAGACTTCTTCATCGCGCTCGGATTCCATCAAAGCTTGAAAGTCTTCGAAAGTGGGACACATCTCTTGCCCGCCAAAGCTAAAGACGTGTCACCGGATTCCGAAACCTTGCCACAGCATGAAGAAACGGAAAACGCAGCGAGGTGCGACTCAAGGTAATAGTGCACTTATGCCAAAACCCTGGAAATTAAGTTTTTTCGAGCCATCTAAGTTGGCAATCCAATTTGTGAGGTTTTGAGCAAGGAATGCTTCCATTTGGTGCAAATTTGAGCTGAAATGAAGAGAATCCCGAAGTTGGAACTCATATAGAAGATAAGGCAGTGAGTGGAGGACAGATGTCAACATTTTGGAGAGTCTGCCATCGATGGCCGGCAGTGGCTCATTAGTGGCCGGCAGTGGCACACTGATAGTCGGCAGGCCTCCCATTGTGGCCAGCAGTCGCTTCCTCATTCCCACTGGCCTTCTTGGTGAAGACCCAGTTGTCTGCTACAGTGAAGTCCTGTTACCTAGGCCTTTTAAGGCCTTGTTTTGTTCTTTTGAACTCTGTCGTGTCTCGTTTAAGACGTATTAGCTTCTTTTTCTGTGTCAGGTTGTAATCATCTTCCTTTCATTTATCGAGTTGTCGTAACTTACTTATCAAGTTGTAAACTTGTTAAGGCTTTGTTTTGCTTATCGAGATGTTTTATTTTTAGTTGGTTCACTACCTGATTAGTGCGATTCGAGTGTTTGATTTTCAAAACAAAAGTTCATCTCATTTACATTGTTGTGTAAAGTGATGCGATGCGATGCGATGCATAGAATGTACAAATGTAACACTTTTTCAACAAATGACTGTTTTCATTCCATCATAGATTCTTTTTGCAAAAGAGCATAGTTTTAAAAAAAAAAAGTAAATCTGCCTAACACAGTACAATGTGCAAAACTACTAGTAAAAAGAAAATAAAGCAAAAAGAAGAACGTTTGAATCAGCAAAATGTCTGGAACAGCACCAATCGCCTCAAGACTGAGAGGTCCTCCTCATCCTCTTCCTCGACCGAGAGGACTCTGGAATATCGCCACCATCAGCACCTGACTCTGAACTTGAGTCATCCCCAGCTCCATCTTCATCTTGAGAAGACTCTGACTGCGGACTAATTGCCTCCTCGTCAGACTCATCATCATTTGGGGCAATGCCCCGTGAACTAGTCCCTCGTCTCGCTCCATCTGCTGCTCGGAAAGGTGTTGAACGACCCGCCCCTGCTCCTGATGAGGCACCTGATGGGCCTGGCGTCAAGAAAGGAATCTGAAAAAGGGCAATCCGCCAAAATGTATTAGTAATCAAGATATATCAAATGCCAAGAATAATGTGCTGTGAGCAGTAAATGATTTGAAGTGAATGTGTACCGTGAGCGGTGTATAAGAGCAATGTATCAGACTAGTGTAGTGTGCAACTGTGCAAATGAGTGGCATGAACTGTAGTTTGAAAGAACTCACCGGAATACTGTAAATACTGAGCAGGTCCATACTCGTCTGCAGCATCCCCATCACCAAAGCCGTCATCTCCAAAGACTGACGAGTGTACTCAATGGGAGCCTGTAAAAATGTTGAAGTCATTAGTATTCTGCGGGATATCAAATGAAATGCCTGTGCAAAATGAAGAGTATAGTGCATACCGGGGTTGAACCATAAACTCTGACAAGCTCGTGACCAGCTGGAGGAGGAGCGAAAGGAATATGATAAGTCTCTCCAGCCCGCCCTCGGCATGTCATAGTAGCAGGCAACACTGGCCATGTAGTCCCCTGTCTTCCCTCAGGACCTTTCCTCCTACGGGACTTGGTCGCTCCGCCTCTCCCTCTCGCAGCTGAAGCCCTCGCACCCTCTCTTCCTCGGACACCAGCCAAAGGTGGCATCAGATGCGTCCGAATAAAGGCTGCGTAGTCACCCTCAGCGCAAAGTAATCTGTCTCCAGTCCTACCATGAACTGAATCACCTGGTCGGCAGACAACATGTGTGTCTCCCTCATCGATGGTGGAGGTGCCATCGGTACAAACGGAGCAAGCAATCCCAAGCTCTGACGCACGAAGCACTCACTCAGAAACCAGGCGCGGCAGATCGGCCCCTCGAAGAGGATATGATAATGAGACATGGTCCGAGCAGTGTGGTACTGGTCTTGGAGTCCTAAAGGAATCGCATCCTATGGCTGCCATGTGATCTGGGAAAAGAGAACAAACAAAGTGATCAGTCGTCAAATGGTCAACATTGATGCACCAGGTTAATTGGAATAATCTCATTAAAGAATTACCTCGTGCACCATGACCGTGTCGAAATACTGCCGAAAGAACATGAAGCTCTCTCGGGTCCTACGATGGAGCGGACTGTTATATACGTCAGAGGATGGGACTGTCGCTAGGGTCTCCTCCACAGGCACTAGAGCAAGTGTTGGGAAGTATGCGTATACCCACAGTTGTTAGAAAGATTTGATCAGTACAGTGCATGTACAGATTGTTGAACATGTAGAAAACAAGATACAGTACAATGAAAAAGGGCTGCAGGCCTAGAGTGGACATTAGATCTTGTGTGTGCAGTGTAAGGTATGTAGTGTGCAGCATGTATGGTGTACAGAAAATGCAAAGCACAAAGCATACAGTGCAAGAGCAGATACAAAAAATACAGAAAGTACAAGTGTCGAACAAAGCAAATGTACAAATGCTGAGTAAAGCAATGAAAAGGGAAAACTAGGTTGTGTACCTCCCAAGCTCGCCAGTAGCCGCCAATCAACCTCCCATGCATCCTAGAGGTGGAGTTCATGTATCCATAAAGAGTGGTGAGGCCGGCCGCCCCCAGTCGTAGAAACGGACCCGCTGGAGTACCACCAGAGCGCGCCCAAGAAGTACAAATCTACGGTATTCCACCTGTTCGAAAACAAGGTGGTACCGAAAAGGAACAAGAGGAAGCCCCTGGCGTACTGCTCTACCCCCTTATCGATCTCAGGATTCTCCCCTCTGTACTGCTCCTCAAACCAAGAGTATCTAACCATACCCGCTCGAAGAATGGGTGGACGTGCTCCAAGTAGCGCATCCTAGGCGGCCCCATACTCCCCCATGTCGGGATCAAGGGGAATCGAATCACCTCCTACGCCCAGGCCGGTGATCATCGCGAAGTCGTGAGGAGTCAATGTCATCTCTCCCGCAGTGGAGAAGTGGAAAGAGTTGGTGGTGTCCCACCACCTCTCCACAAGAGCCCTTAGGAGAGGGCGACTCGCTGTGACCCGCGTCAAGCTGCAGCAAAATACGCCAAAGTCGGTCCCGTCAATGATCCGGCGGACCCTCGAGAGAAGCATATCGTACCAATCCCGAGCGGTCATAGCACCATAACCCCTGAAGGAGCGGGATCCATCCTGCAACAGCAAATGCAGTTCAAGTCAGATCAGTAGTGAATGCAGTTCAAGTCAGATCCATGATGTATTGAAGATGCAGTTCAGATCAGATCAGTGATGTATTGAAAATACAGTTGAATTCAAATTAGTGGTGTATCGAAGATGCAGTTGAGTTTGGGGCAGTGACGCACGAGATGCGGTCATACACAGTACATACAGGGCAATGATGTGTGAAGTACAGTTACATGCAGAGCAATAATGTATGAAATACAGTCAGATCAAAGCACGTGATGCGATCAGATCGAAACAGTGCAAGAAATGCAAGTAATTGAAAACAATACTACAGGAAAGCAGAGTTCGTACCTCCACAACAATGGTCGACAAATACAGTCAGATCAAAGCACGTGATGCGATCAGATCGAAACAGTGCAAGAAACGCAAGTAATTGAAAGCAATACTACATAAAAGCAGAGTTCATACCTCCACAGCAATGGCTGACAAATAAGACATCGGCTCCCTTAGTAAGAGGTCGTTTGGTGCACCCTCATCAAAATCAGTGAAGGTGTGAATGCCTCCCGCCACCGGTATGATATGAGTCTCGGGATGATACCTCGCAGGGTCGAAGGGACGTCTGCTCAATGGTAAAGGCTGAGGCTTGACCTCTGGCTCAGTTGCAAAGTCTGCCGCCAACTCTACTTGAGGGAGTGCAGGGAAGCCCTCATCGTGTGGAACATCGTTAGCCATCTGAGATAGATGCAAAAACAAGCAAAAATGAGCAAAATGGTGGAGCTTTGAACAAACCAAACCCTAAGAGAGAGAAAATTCAAGGAAAGTTGAAAGCCCGTGAAGGGTGAACTAACCTCAAAAGAAATCCGGGGGAAATGATCCTCGAATGGGGGAAATGATGACAGACACCTCAGATTCAATTTCTGATCGGTTCAAATTGAAGAAAACCAAGAGGTTTTAACGATTCAAGATTGTTTAGGGTGTTGTGAAACGCGTAGAATACGTGAATCTAGAGAGAAGGCACACCTAGGGAGGAAGAGAAATGATTTCTATGCAACGGTTTGTGAGAAAATGGGCTGGATTTGAGTCTATTTAAAGACCCATGGCCAAAAAGACCGTTTTGCCCGAATCTACCACCGATGGCCGGCAGGGGCACATCGATGGCCGGCACCACTCTGTCGATGGCTGGCAGTGGCCACTAATGGCCGGCGGTAGCCGGCGGCTCTTCCTGATGGCCAGCAGTCCTCCACTAGCTTCCCCTGCCTATTTGATCTTGGTATGTGTCCCTAGGTTCCAACAATCCCGAGGAATGCTCAAAATTTGATTCAAAACGCCTCTGTGGAAACCCGGGAATCATGGTCTCAATGTACTGTGGTCATCGCCCATCAACGCGCACAAGATATATCCTTTTTGATGCACCACAAACCTTCCAAGGAGTAAACCGGAAGTCTCCTTTCAAGATGTCTTCATTAAGAATGTTTGTTTTTTTTTGTTGTTGCCACCTAGCATTCGCTTATTAAATTAAACACCCATTCTTTATATTTGCATTGTCTTTCATCTAGTTTATATTTGCATTATCTTGCATCTATTTGCATTATTTTGCATCTAGTTCGTATTTGCATTATCTTGCATCGAGTTTATATTTGCATTATTTTGCATCTAGTTCATATTTGCATTGTCTTCCATCTAGTTCATATTTGCATTGCCTTGCATCTAGTTTATAGTTGCATTGTCTTGCATCTCATCAAACTTGCATTGTTTTGCATCTCGTCAAACTTGCATTGTTTTGTATCTCATCAAACTTGCATTGTTTTGCATCTCATCAAATCTGCATTGTTTTGCATCTAGCATCACTTATTATCTTAACTTGCGCTGTTATGCAGGTTATGTGCGTTGTTACGTACTTCTTATCTTAACTTGCGCTGTTACGCAGGTTATGTGCGCAGTTACGCACTTCTTATCTTAACTTGCGCTATTACGCAAGTTATGTGCGCTGTTACACACTTCTTTTCTTAACTTGCGCTGTTACGCTGGTTATGTACGCTGTTACGCACTTCTTATCTTAACTTGCGCTGTTACGCAAGTTTTGTGCACTGTTACGCACTTCTTATCTTAACTTGCGTTGTTATGCAGGTTATGTGCACTGTTACGCACTTCTTATCTTAACTTACGCTGTTACGCAGGTTATGTGCGCTGTTACGCACTTATTTTCTTAACTTGCGCTGTTACGCACTTCTTTTCTTAACTTGCGCTGTTACGCAGGTTAT